AATATATGTCCCATTATTTCAATCTGTTTCTACAAAATTATTGGTACATACGTTTAAAACTTTTTCTTCGAGTCGATAAACATACAAAAATTTAAACAATAAACGTGCGAACGAAAATGTAAAATATTTGAAAAAGAGAAAGAGCAGGAAAGGGTAGCACACATTGCTATAGGCCATCTACCGTCATGCATTATGGAGTTTCCCTCCAAACAATTCCAAGAACGATTTTTTACAGGGAAATCGTTACTAGGACTTCCGAATGCTTCTTAAATCTGTACAGTACTTCACATTTTGTGGGCTAAATTTAGAAAATGATCTCGGAAGTTTATAAAAATATATATATCTCTTAGATTGTGAATTTTAAACTTTTCTACCTTCCCGAGAAAACATTTCCGCTACTATGTATTTCGCACGTATATTCGTGTTAGCGATTCATGGCAGATACTAAATATTTAGACTACGTTGTTATTTTAGAATGATAACAATACGTGTTTATATAAACATAAAAATAAATTTCTGTTTCAAATTTTTTAAATTCTCGAGAGTGGTATGTTCATCTACTTTTATCTTTCCATTATTATCACTGAACGTTGATGTAACTTCGAACCGTGCTTTGATAACCTAATGTAGTATGTAATACTCTATAAAAAAAGAAGTCGAAATTTCGTTGACTAAGAATGAACACGAGTCGTTTCTCAACTATATTTACGTGTTACCATATTATAATTAAACGAAATGAAGAAAAAATATTTCGATAAATTCTTTAAGAAGCCCGCGTGTGGACTACCACATACACAAATATCTTTAATATATCGCAAAATTAAGTTTGCTATGGATAATTATTTCGATTCAAATAACTAAATGGTACACCAAATAATAAAAGGCAGCGAATGTACCGACCTGTGGCCTTCCATTGTCGTCGTAGCACTTATCTTCGTCTCTGTTATATGCAAATCGACTGTATTCTTCTGCAGGATCGGGTTCCGCAAGTACTACCACCATAGAGATAACAAGTACTGCTAATATTTTCTTGTGCCTTCCTCGCGTCATATTTGAAATTCGTTAAGCGATCACTATTTCTTTGAATTTGAATCCACTTTGCACAGAGAAGTCGTCGGCAGTCCAGTTGGAACTCTCACTTTACCGATTTTTTTTTGTTAAACGTCAGGGTGACCACTTTTTGTTGAATGGGTCCATCGGCAACAATGGGATCCGCGGCAATCGTTTTTTATTTGTATTAGCAAGACCACATTCCGCGAGCCGTTCTCCCCTTTTTATCTGTCTAATGTACAACAAATCTTGACATTAGAATTTTTCGTGATAACAAATCGCAACGGTACCGCGCGCGGCTTGTATGTAGAATATAATTTAAAAAAAAAGAACGCAAGGAAAATGTAACTACAAGTTAGGTAAGAACTGTCGGTGATTCAAATTATAATTTCAAATAAATTTTAGTTTTTGTCTGACTGGACAAGCAAGTCTAAGCTTTGATATAATTCTGCAAATTTTAACAATTATTTAGACAATATAAAATCGCGCGAAACACATATAAGAACGCGTAAAACTTCTTCGAAACAGATCTATGAAAACACAAATCACTCGAACGTGTCTCAATGAAATATTCTATTCGAAAAAAAACAAATGCAGTTACGAATAGACATTGTTGTATACACGATTGTAAACGGAAACTAGTGAAAAATTTCAAGCTATAAAAATTCTCGCGCCTTGCACAAAGCGAAAGGTGATATCTGCCGGATAGTTCACAATCACATGCGGATCGAACACAAACTGATTCTAAATTGTTCGCCGATTTATAAATGAACGGAGCTCGTGCCGTGTGTCACGGATCGTTTGAAGCGAACGGAGAAATTTTTGTTCTAACCTCTTCGACCGACAGAAAATTAGGAACTCCGAAGAAAGGCTCTCTCCACGCGACAGTTCACTGAGAAACTGAACGAGAGAAGTCGTAGCGTTGCGAGTCGGCGGAGTGAGGCTAGGGACGGGGACTCTGTGTAGGTAGGCTGTAGACTGTGGGGAAGTCGAGTGCCCAATGCCAGGAGTCTGTGGTGGTATGTAACACGCCACTCGTGGTAGAAAGTGCAGGCAAAGAGCAGGCTGGGAGAGAACCATAGCGATGGCAATGTTAAGATTACATTTCGTACATTATTATTGCTATGTATTTGCAATATTTATTATTATTATTTCTTATCATGCTCGCAACATTAAATACAATCAAACAAGAAGTATATCTAAAATTATCGTGTTATTGTATAACCATTTTACCTGTTCGCAATAATCAGACAACGAAATTATTTTTAAGTCTACGAGTTCCACTTTCTTATAATTATTATTACCAACTTATATTACTTTACCAAAACTTTTACTATCAGCCTCCTAGACTTCTTATACCGAAGGAACATTTTTCGTGTAAGAGTAAATCTATTTCAGAGGTAGGTTTACGAAGGAATCGCGACGTTCGTGTTTTCGCGAGTGAGATGCGACAATTATAAATCGTTTTTGTAGCGCATGTGAACAACAATTGATATCTCGTTGGAGCGGAAGTAAGAAAGAGATTACATATGTAATCGGGAAACGATGACTTTTTCTTTCATCTTTCCCATTGAACGATTTTATGCTAGTAGCATTTAATTATATTGAACATGTATTCTCAGTTTTACTTGTCTTTTATTTAATATTTAAAATGTACTGTTCACATAGTTTAAGGTACGCTAAGACAGTTATCTTTTTACCAGGAAATATGAAGCGATATCATAATACCGCCAACGCGTTCACAATTTCTCGATTAGTTTAACATTAAAATTAGTTTGTATTGTATTATATAAAAATTATAAAAATATATGTATCTGTGGTCTTATCTGTTTGAACTATTCGAATTAATCGCATAATTAAACTTTTTAGTCGGTGAGTATCAATGCGATTAAAAATCGATATTTCTCTATATCACTCGCAATTAATGTCAGGAATTTTTTAACCCTATGTACTCGAAGCTATTTTAATACTATATTCAAACAGTTTTTCTGACCTACAGTATTTCCATTTTATACGAGTTAGTGCATTTTATGTCAAGTTGAGTTTCATCATTTATACAACAGTTACACTTTTAAGAGATTTTAAATATAAACAAATTTGACGATGTAAACATTATTTTTGAACTTGATACGATAGTTTTTAGCGGTGCCTCAGAGCCACCACTCGAGTGCAAAGGGTTAAAAAGATCATTCCTCATACTTATTACATTGAATTTCCTTACTAAGACGTGTCGAGAGAAGCTGCTGCAGTTCTTGAAGATTCGTGCATATATCCTCTTTAGGAACCTCTTTCTCGATCGTATCGTCATTATCGTGTTTAATCAGAATCGCATTCCAATTGGCATTCTTCGCGCCTACATAATCATAGATTACGGAGTCGCCGATATGTATCGCTTCCTGAGAAGCGATGCTGATGCTATGTTGTTTTCTTGTTAATTTAAGCGCCTCGTCGAAGATCGGAGTGTCCGGTTTCTCCACGCCGAAATCGTAGGACGTCAAAACGAACGAAAAGTAAGAACGTATCTTGGTCTCCAGAAGTATCGCTTCTAATCTCTCATCAAAATTTGATATCACCCCTAAGATTAGTCCCTTTCCCTGCAGATATTCGAGTATCTCGATCGTGCCTGGATACTTGTGCCAGCACAGACTCGTGCCGTAGGACTTTATCAGTGTACTAGCAACCTAAGGGTCACAATGATAAACAGGGTCAGCGATAGTTACACCAGCTCGAACTAAATGGGTTAACGCGATATTGCTCTGTTCTTTTTAAAATCCCCGTTCTTGCGATATCGCTTACAATTAAAAGAATTTCAAATATTTCACAAATTGAAAATAATAAAAACGACACATTAAATATACATAGAATTATTTCAAGCAGTGACATATGCTTGCACTGTTGTTGTTGTCACCTTGTCCAAGGTAGTCTCCGAAATATAACTATGTTGATCCTTAAAAACGTCGTGTACAACCAGTCGCCACCAATTTTGCCATCCGATGCCCGTATGTTTACCAAATATAGGATGCTCTACGCTCAGCCTGCGCAAGCTATTTTTGAAACTTCGCGCCAATTTCCGTTGATCGATCAATAGGCCATGCTGACGTCCAATTTCGGCGTAATACTGCAGTTGCGTCATGAGCAGCGTACCAGTAACATCGAATGTCACCAGGCGTGGTCGCACGTATTTGATCATCGTTAAAGTCTATCTGCAAATCATGATACATGATATACAGAACACTGTTTTAGGGAAAACTTTACTTTGGGGGACCAAAAATTTCGGACTTTTTGTATGATCCACGTAAACTTTGACGAGAGAATCACAAGAATGTAAGTTTTAAAGTTAGAAATTCATTGGTTCCGAAATTATATGTGTACAAAGTTGTAAGATTTCAAGAGTTAACAACAGATAAAGGCACCGGCTATATTGGTTCGTAGTCATTGTCGGACACCGTCAAACGATATTCAACGATCACTGGCAGTTGGTATGGTTAACGCAGTGTTTCCAGTTCCTGACACGAAACGAAATAGGGGAGAGACCCACCACCCACCGTCGCACTCCTCCGTAACGTCTCGTTATGGAGCCGGCTTAAAAATGTCTTTCGGGTGGTGGTTCGGAGACCTCGCAATTGTGATTGGATTTCAATGGCAATCCATTGGTATTATCTAATCCCACCACTCGCTGGCACATTCCGACCCCCCTCCTTCCGGTCGAGTTGCGTGGCTCGGGGCGGCGACCCCCAAACCCAAAAGAAAACATACCACGAACGAGTGCATACAGTGTTCTGTATTTGAATTAAAATACGAGAATGAATTATTACATCGTTTTGTGATACACTTTGCACACTATAGGTTCACGCAATAATCCATATTCGCATGTCCAAACAGTAACAGCTTCGTTTGTAATTGATAAATTGCAGAAGTTATATTTCCTGCTCTCTATTTTTGCGTCGACTAAAAAATATGTACTGCCCGTCCACGAGAAAATGGCACAGAAGCGACCTCGCTTTTAGGCGTAGTTCGCGTCTAGTTTTTCTATACCATCTTCTCGAGGACGGAGTATACATACATATGTATGGGGTACATATTAGGAATTCGAATTCGAATTACCTCTCAAAGATGGCTGCGCCTACGTGCTGCTGCTGCCATCTAGCGATTCCGCTCATTGGACGATGTCTAGCAAGTACGAACCAATATGGCGACGCCCTTACCCGTCAAAAACGTTTCAAATTCCTCGACTTGGCACACGTATAGGTTTCGAACCAATGAATTTTTAACTTCGAAACTTACACTTTTGACGGTTTCTCTTTAAAACCTTCGAGATTGTACGAAAATAAATTTTAGTTTAAAGTTTAATCGTGTTGTTTAGCATGCCATACGAAAAAAAAATCACGCTCGTTTCGTGTCGCGCACGGTATAGTACTGCCAATGTTAACCCCTTAACGCGCAGAAACGTAATAACACGGGCGTGCAAAAGACCCGTATATATACGGTCGGCGTCGCAACTTATGTCGCTAAAATGTTCAGATTCGAATATATCCGGGCAGTAAAAATAACTTAATAAAAACCAAGGAAAATATTCAATTTATTGATATTCATCGTGTAATTCTGTATTGTAAGCTGTAAAGTTTGTTTATTTGGGATTATAAAATATGGCCTTTTAGGGTGACACTTATAAGCATCTCTGATCTGGTAATTGTTTCTATCTATCTATATCCATTATTGCGTATCTAATTAGCGTTGGCACTTTTGTGAGTTTTTTTATGACTAATTTATTTATTACTCTCCAGTTATCTCCGATCTCTTTCTATTTTTTGCTTATTCAG